TGGCGAAAGTGTGAAGTTGAACAGACTAGTCATTCCCCAGTTATTTAATTGATTCCAAGTTTTTAAATTACTATGTTCACAAATTTGTCTGCAGGGAAAAATCTTAATGAGTACTATCCCAGGCCCAAGATGCAGCAGACAATAAATATTGAAGCCTTTCAGCAGAGGTGCACTGAAATTTATTGAACGTAATTTAACGGCAGTAAAAATGTCTTCCTATTTTGCACAAATCTGCACATACACAATTAAATTTCGCTCTCTCTTGTTGAATTAAGACGAATGTTTTTTGAATGCTTGATGCTGCAAAACTTTTGGAATTGGTAGTTATCCAAACCATTCCAGGATGTTGGGAATATGTTTAATAACTTTGATCATAGGGTACATGAACATGTCAGTTGTTCCAAGAATCTGACCTAGTGATCGTGCAGAATCAATAAAATTTTGAAGCCGCTGGGCTGAGGCCTTCTCTAGTTACCTGGAGAGGGTTTCGGGGGTCAACGCCCCCACGGCTCGGTCTGAGACCAGGACTCGTGGTGGATCAGGGTCTGATCAGCCAGGTTGTTACTGCTGCCACAAGCAAACAGACGTACGAACCACAGCCCGGCTGGCCAGGTACTGACTTTAGGTGCCTGTCCAGTGCCTTCTTGAAGACCGCCAAGGGTCTATTAGTAATCCCCCTTACGCATGCTGGGAGGCAGTTGAACAGTCTTGGGCCCCAGACACATATTGTGTTGTCTCTCATTGTACCCGTGGTACCCCTGCTTTTCATTGGAAGAATGTTGCATCTCCTGCCGAGTCTTTCACTTCCATAAGAAGTGATTTTCGTGTGCAAGTTTGGTACTAATACCTCTAGAATTTTCCAAGTGTATATTATCATGAATCTCTCTCGCCTGCATTCCAGGGAATACAAACCAAGGGACTTCTACCATTTCCAGTAATTTAGGTGCCTTATTGTACTTTTGTGTGCCATGAAAGTTCTTTGTACACTCTCCAGGTCTGCAATTTCGCCAGCGTTGAAGGAGGCAGTTAGTATACAGCAATATTCCAGCCTAGAGAGAACAAGCGATTTGAAGAGAATCGTCATGGGCTTGACATTCCTAGTTTTGAAGGTTCTCATTATCCTTCCTATCATTTTCCTAGCAGATGCGGTAGATGCATTGTTGTGGTCTTTGAATGCGAGATCCTCTGACATTATCACTCCTAAGTCCTTCACATTACTTTTTCGCTCTACTGTATGATTAGAATTTGTCGTATACCCTGATACAGTTTTAATTTCCTCAAGTTTTCCGTATCTGAGAAGTTGAAATTTCTCTTCATTGAACTTCATATTGTTTTGAGTGGAACATTTGAAGATTTTGTTGATGTCCGCTTGGAGTCTTATGGTGTCTTCGATGGAGGTCACTGTCATGGCAATTCGGGTGTCATCCGCAAAGGAAGACACGGAGCTATGGCTTACATCTCTGTCTATGTCAAATATGAGGATGAGGAATAGGATGGAGGAAGAAAAAAGATAAAAAAATATATCATGCAACCTCTTAGAGGTAAACTTTCTGGATTATCGACTTACATGGCGAAGGTTGTTTTATTGTATACATAAAATTAGCAAATTGGAGGCTTCACAGCCCACTGAACAACTAAATCTTCTAAGACACTAACAGAAGTTCCAAGATAGCCAGAAGAGGCCGCCTCCAGTTTTTGCATAGAATAAAAGGATTTCAAGTTTGCATCTACATAGCTTTAACTTGTAAGGACATCATCATTCTCATAAAATGCCTCAGCAGTGACAGCTTGAAGATGACCAGAAGAGGCAGTCTTCAGTTATTACACAGAAACAGAATACATTTTTTTTAACTGTTTGCTCCCACAAAGCCTAATCTTAAGGGCATAATCCTCTCAAACTGCATCAGCTTCTGATGACACTGACCAGAGAACCCCTGTACATGCTAACAGTTGCATAAATCTCTCCTTATTTACAGACGGCTGACAATTTGAAACTAGAGGAGGCATTCACAAGCTGAATACAAAAACGTTGGAGGAAGACACGAACATTTACCTTAGTGTATATGTGCCGCCTCTAGAATAAAGACTTATGGAACTATGATGTATTAGAGCTCACTCATGAAAATTAAACAAGAAAGGCTATGGAAATATGAGTTCTTAATATTTCTCGATTTTTTTTCACATTTATATTTCAGATACTCTACAATCAAATGAGAAAAATATTTGATTCTTGTTTTTAAGAAATTTGAAATTTCATATATTCTTTTGAGTTGCGAGGCTGGGACAGCTGAGGCTTGAAGCAGATGTAAACTGGGACCTACACAGTTCAGTAAGAAGGCAAAGCTTTCTCTAGGTAAGATAAATCCGACTTGAGGTTTGAAACTGACTGATTTGCTCATTTAAAAATTATCACAGCAATAAAATTTAAATTTTGGCAAATTTTTCACTAACACTTTCCAATTGGCATCTCCACAGCCTAACATAAATCAAAAAAATTCTCTAAGATTCACCATAGTTTTATTATTATTATTATTATTATTATTATTATTATTATTATTATTATTATTACATTCACGGGAAGAAAGCGCTAAACCCGTAGGGGTCATATAACGCCTAGGGGAATGGAAAACATTTCGGCTCCATTCAAGGAACTGGAATATTGGTGCAATTCCTTAGATCAAGTGCACTTCATTAACATCAGAGAACTTCCCTTGAGGATTTGAAGGCCATCAGACGAAGCTTTCTGCAGTGACTTCAGGTTTATTATTAACTTTAGCATATTTGCATCTTCAGTCGAAGATAACTTCTACACTTCTACTAAGGATAAGGGACTAAACACCTTAAAATCTTCACCTCTTCAGCTGTTTTCAATGTTAGTTACCTCTGTAGTGGACTGGAGAAGCCTGCTGCTCGGGTGCAATATTTTAGCAAAAACGACACTTAAATATTGCTGTTTTCTTCATCTACTTGTCGGTATTGTACACCGACAAGTAGACAAGCTTACTAGTGGGCCCCTTCTTTTGTGATGCCATCTACAGCTGCCACACCTCGCTTCTGGCTCGAGTATATAAGCTCCATTCAGTTGTCTCTATTTCTAATTGATTGCAACTACTGAACACCTTCCATCTAGTATGAGAGATCCAACACTTCAAGATGACCTCCACGTCTTCCAAGGTTGAAGGACTGAACACCTTTATATCTCCACTTCTTCGACTGCCTTCAGTGTATCAGTCACCTCTGTACTGGACTGAAGAAGCCTGCTATGTAGGCAAAACATTTTGACAATAAAGATACCTAAATGTTGCACATGCATCAGTCGTACTCATTTCTTACTAGTATTGTATACCATTAATATATTAATATTTGATAATTACATTATGCTAGAAAATTGACAACTTGGAACGTTCACTGCCTACAACTGTACTGAATCATTGTTTGCATTACTCGTACCAGCGTGTACAGTCAGGCTGTTCTAAAGATGCAGTCTCAACTTATTTCCTGGAAAATAAGTTAAAATAACAACACTAACAGTTGGAACCTTCTGAATAGGATACACCAGTGTTGAACACTTGAGGCCAACTGAATGACTTGTTCATGTTATTAACGATAAACTTGGAGGAAAAAAATTCAGACAATAATTGTAGATACTCCTATCGAAGGATACCTAATAAAAATTTGATCTTTTTTTGCGATGCCAGCAGCTTCATGCGTGTCAAAAATAAACTGATTTACTATATTTAGCTAGCTGAATTCTTACTTATAGTATGTATATTACTAGTACTAGTTGTTTAGTTTCACTTGACTTTTTTTTTTTTTAACTCTCTGGCCGCCCCCCACCGAGGTAGGATGACCGACAAAGAAGAAAGCACTTTCGCTGACAGTCATTAAATCTCTGTCTTGCCAGAATCACGCCAACACTACAGTTCAGATGATCCTCCCATTCGCAACATCGTCTTCACCCCTACTGTATTTCCACCTCCAGGACTCAAGTCCGGCTAACCGATTTTCCTGAATCCCTTCATAAATGTTACCTTGCTCACACTTCAACAACATTTTAAATTATGAAAACCACTTGCTTCCACGTCTATTAAACACGATCACACAAGCCTGTTGGATGTCTAAGTCCCTAGCACAAAAATATTTATCCCTTAACTCCAACCTTTACTACGACGACCCCTACCCCCCTTCCTCCCGCTATAGATTTATACGCCTTCCTAGACATCCTATTATACTCTATTCTCTCCAAATGTCTAAACCACCTCAACTCGCAGGCCCTTTGAATAACTTTGAATAGTTTTGGTAATTCCACACATCCTCCTAATCTCCAAACTTCAGATTTGCTGCATAATATTCACACCACACATTGCCCTCAAATACGACATCTCTATTGCTTACATTCTCCTCGTTGCAACATTTAAAACAAATGCCTATCACCCATACAACAGTGTTGATACCACTATACTCTGGTACATTTTGCCCTTTTGCTTCAAGGAATAAAGTTATTTTTCAGATTAGATGCCTCAGAGCATTTGCCTATATTTTTTTTTATCTATTTTTATCAATTATCTAAATAACGAAAATTTATGCTAAACACTTACTTCGCTTGTGGTGAAAATATTTACTCGTTTAGCAAGAAGTAAATGAAAGTTATTGGAGAATGTGGTGGCAGGTATCATCACCTGGGACCACAAAGTTCTTCTCCACACTCTCCCCAACAGTCTTCACTTCGCTGAAGATTTTCTCTTTGATTTCTTAGCCGACATGGACTTGATTTATCAGTTTTAACCCCCCTATCCTTACTCCTGATGCCCTTCCTTCAACACTTCCACTACCCCCCCCCCACGCTCTGTCCCACTCCGCCTCCCCACCACAATCTCATCTCCCTCTCTGCCATGCATGATGGGTTTAATGTTTTTTCCATGGATGCTATATAAAATCATTATCAACATCACCACAGTAATAATAATTATAATAAATCTTTCTTCCTCATATTTCTTCAGCTTCCACTTGGTATACGAAAAAGCAAAAAAATAAAATCTTTGGAGCATCGTATATCGGAGAATGCCAAGGCTGCACGTAAACGAGCTGTGGATCAGTTCAAAACTGTGTCACAGATGGGGATTCGTGTCATTATGACGGAGCGTGAACTGGGAGGACCTAAGAGGATGGTTGCAGACGGCTTTGCATCAGTTTTGGAATGTATGGTGTTAACTGAACTAACTAAGGTAAGAGTGCATATTTAATCATGTTACATGGTATTTATTGTAGAAAGTTTTTATTATTAATATTATAATTATTTTATGAGTCTGTAATGTGATTTGTTTCTGACAATGACTTTTTTGCACAGAACGTAAAGAAATATCTTGAGACATGTATCATAGCTAGGACTGCTGGTGCCCAGAGCGATTTATACCAATGTCTTCCCATTTTCCCGTTAACGTTACATCTGTTGGCCGTGAACCTTGCATGTGATGATCACCAATGTCCAATCAGTCGTGAACCTCACACGCGATTATCACCAATGTCCGGACAGTCGTGAACCTCACACGCGATGATCACCAATATCCGGTCAGTTGTGAACCTTGCACGTGATCACCAATGTCTGGTCAGTCGTGAGCCTCTTACGTGATGATCACCAATGCTATGGAATCAATAATTGCCGAAGTAATTCGTAGCCGTCTTGAAAGGCATAAATTGATTAATGAATCTCAGCACGGTTTTACAAAGGGGCGTCCCTGTCTTAGGAATTTACTAACTTTATTCACTAAGATATTTGAAGAGGTAGATCATGGTATCGAATATGATATTGTGTATATGGACTTCAGTAAGGCTTTCGATAGAATTCCACATCAGAGGCTATTGAGGAAACTTAAGGCACACAGAATAGAAATTTTTTCCTGGGTAGAGGCATGGTTGACAAATAGGCAGCAGAGTTTGCATAAATGGGGAGAAATCAGAATGGGGGGCACATCACAAGCGGTGTTCCACAGGGGCCAGTGTTGGGCCCCTTGTTGTTCACAATTTACGTAAACGACTTAGATGAAGGAATAAATAACGATATAAGCAAATTTGCTGATGACACGAAAATTGGCCGTTCAGTTCATTCTAATAAGGACATTAGAGCACTCCGGGATGATTTGAATAAACTGATGCAGTGGTCGGAGAAGTGGCAGATGCAAAGTTCTAAATGTTGGACAAGAAAATAACCGTGCCATATAAACTAAATAATGTAGATCTTAGTATTACGGATTGCGAAAAGGATTTATTAGTTCTGGTTAGCAGTAATCTGAAACCAAGACAACAGTGAATAAGTGTTCGCAATAAAGCTAACAGAATTCTTGGCTTCATATCAAGAAGTATAAATAATAGAAGTCCTCAGGTTGTTCTTCAACTCTATATATCCTTGGTTAGGCCTCATTTAGACTATGCTGCACAGTTTTGGTCACTGTATTATAGAATGGACATAAATGCTCTGGAAAACGTACAGAGGAGGATGACAAAGTTGATCCCATGTATCAGAAATCTTCCCTATGAGGATAGACTAAGGGCCCTGAATCTGCACTCTCTAGAAAGGCGTAGAATTAACCTCACTGTATGTTCTTGCCATTTCTGATAATTAATCATTAACCTAGTTAAAAAATAATAAATAAATGTGAGAACAGTAATGATTTCAATTGTTAAAAAACATAACTTTCCAAACTGTTGCTGCTGTTACTATTTTACCATTTAAAAACCTGAAAATTTAAAATTTGATTAAGAACCCTTTAGAAGCAACGTTACGTTTTTACCTTTTTTTGCAAATATTGTTTCATGTCATCATCACTCTTCAAGGTTCCTGGCTCTGATGTGATGAATTCAGTGAGAGTTACAGCTCTACTGAGGCTGCACTCTCTGGACTGAAGCTGTTTGTCAGCTAGACTTATAATTCCCAATAGATGGTCAGAGAGTAATGCAGAAAAACAGAGATTCTCATGTAATAATACATCCAGCAACGCACTGACTGAGACAGTAACTTCTCCAAGCTCAGTAGAACGCTCACGATTTCACTGAACTTTTTTTTTTTTATTAATGCTTCCGGCAGAGTTTAGATGACCAGACCATCTTTGTTCTGTAGGTGAGCTGTGGGTATTATCATAATTATAAAAATACTCATCATTCACCTGAATAAGGGAGAATATGAATCATGGAGTGTATGATCAAAATAGAAAAGCAAAAACCACGTATGACCGAGCCTGTTCGTGGTCATTGTTATGGTCGTAGTTTACAGCAGAACATTTAGATTTTCCTTGTTACAATATACCAAAATTTTGACAAATCACAGGCCGAAAGAGACGCTTTTTACTTCGTTTTCTTTGTTTTGATTATAACGAGTCAGTCTTAAGGAGAAGCTTGACGGACACAGTAGTTCCTCACAAATATATTACATTGGTTCTTTTTATAGGCTAATATGAAGTTCAGTGCGTAGTTACTGAACTTTCACTGAATTAGGCCTAATTATGACTTTTGCATCACGGGAACTAAAGACTCACAGGCCCTGAGCCGGAACGTTTCCAGGACATGGGATGATCGTCGAGCTCCCTGGGTGGTGGACCCGGCGTCAGGGTGCCAGAGAAAGCGTCTCAGTGTCAAAATAAACACATCAGGGTGTTAATTAAAGAAGAGTTCTAAAACTGATCACCATAAAAAATGAGATAAGTGAAGGGTCTAAAGATGTCAGCGATGCATGGCTAATAGTGAAGGTCTAAACTTTAAGGTCTAAGCAACACACAGTGATGACAACAGTGAAGGTTTAAATTTTAAGTATTAGTGATACATATTGATAACAGTAGTTAATAGTGAAAAAAAGTTGTGTTATCCACTGAAGTATATTTTGTTTTACTGGCACCAGCTGGCAGCGGTGGAGGGAGATGGTTACAAACACAGTTCATCCCCACACACACCAGCTGAGAACTTTCATGGTGTCACACTGGCGAGGGCAGGTTTGGTAAGTCTTTTAAGATATTTGTAAGAGCAGTCTGCCTGTAATTAATATTTAAGGAATATTTATTATTTATATTTTGCTGGATTTTTTCATGATGGCGAAGAAATATTAATCCAAGGACTTGGAGCTATATTTCCCTTCATTATATTCAGTATGTTTACATATTTACCTCGAGTTCCCCAGGAGGCACTGTATGAACCTTGCTAGTTTAACGCTTCTCCTCCCCCCACACACATATATTTCAGCACACCGGCCATCTCCTATCGAATTAGGGTGACCCAAGACAAAAGAAAATTCCACCATCACTCCATAACTGCTTTGCCAGAGGTGCGCCGATACTACAGTTAAAAACTGCACATATCTCCTCCCCCCTTCACAGTGCAGGCACTATATTTCCCACCTCAAGGACTCAGGTCCTTCTTACCGATGTCCTTGAATCCTTTCATAAATGTTACTTTGCTCACACTCCAACAGCACGTCAAGTCATAAAACCACTTACCTCCACTTACTCCTGTGTAACACGCTCACACGCCTGCTGGATGTCTAAGCCCCCTTACACACTAAATCTCCATTACCCCTTCCCTCCAATCTTTCCTAGGACGACCCCTACCCCACCTTCCTTCTAATGTGTATTTATACACCCTCCAAGTCATCCTGTTTTCTTTAATCCTCTGTAAATGTCCGAACCACCTCGACAGCCCATCTTCAGCCCTATGGATAATACTTTTAGTAACCCTGCACCTCCTAATCTCCAAGCTACGATTTCTCTGCATAATATTCACACCACACATTACCCTCAGACACGACATCCTCAATGCCTCCAGCCTTCTAAATGTCGCAACATTCTCAACTCATGCTTCACATCCATATAAGAGTGTTGGCATCACTATACGCTATGTTTCTCTATTGCCTCCATGAATAACATTCTTTGTCTCAACTGATGCCTCAATGCACCACTTACCTTTTTTCCTTCTGTGGTTCACCTCGTCTTTCATACACCCATTTGCTGAAAAGTCTGCTCCCAATTATCTGAAGACTCTCATTTCCTGCATACTCTCCCCCTCTCCAATCTGGTATCCAGTCTTTCATTGCCTAAATTTTTTGTTGCCCTCATCATTTTTAATTTCCTTGTTTTACATGCCCTCCCATATTCGTCCACCAGCCTTTTCAGCTTCTCTTCAGAATATCCCAAAAGCACAGTGTCATCAGCTAATTTGTGTTAGATTCTTTATCTTCGAATCCCACACCTCACCCCACACACACACACACACACACACACACACACACACACACACACACACACACACACACACACACACACATATATATATATATATATATATATATATATATATATATATATATATATATATATATATATATATATATATATATATATATAGAATGACAAGGAGAGCGTATAAATCTGTAGGGGAAGGAAGGCGGGGTAGGAGTCGTCCTCGAGAAGGTTGGAGGGAAGGGGTAAAGGAGGTTTTGTGGGCGAGGAGCTTGGACTTCCAGCAAGCGTGCGTGAGCGTGTTAGATATGAGTGAATGGAGACGAATGGTATTTGGGACCTGACGAGCTGTTGGAGTGTGAGCAGGGTAATATTTAGTGAAGGGATTCAGGGAAACCGGTTATTTTTATATAGCCGGACTTGAATCCTGGAAATGGGAATTATAATGCCTGCACTCTAAAGGAGGGATTTGGGATATTGGCAGTTTGGAGGGATGTGTTGTGTATCTTTATACGTATATGCTTTTAAACTGTTGTATTCTGAGCACCTCTGCAAAAACAGTGATTATGTGTGAGTGAGGTGAAAGTGTTGAATGATGAAAGTATTTTCTTTTTTGGGATTTTCTTTCTTTTTTGGTCACCCTGCCTCGGTGGGAGACGGCCGACTTGTTAATATATATATATATATATATATATATATATATATATATATATATATATATATATATATATATATATATATATATATATTTAACAAATCTGGAACCCAATTCTTTAAGGAAACGTGTGGCATTTTTTCCCCATAATCCCAAGGTCTCTGATCCCACTGGGACAAATTGATACTGTTGGCTTATGTCCCTGTACTTCCTGATCTTGTACTCCTCCCTGTGGTCAGCAGCTCCTCCCTGTCGCCCAACACTGTGATGGATGTAGGTGTCAGCGAGCATCGACACACAGGTATAGTCCCATGCTAAGAGCTTGCCATTCTTCCAAGGATAGATGATGATTCCGTCCGGGTGATTTGCTGGGTTGTGGGTATTGTTGGCTTCTAGTGATCGGGGCTCTTTCTCGGATGGGCATCCAGCCGAGAGAGAGCAAGGGTTCTCTTTATGATGTCATTGACTTCATTGTGTCTTGCATGCCAGCCCTTGGTTTTGGAACAGTTAAGACCATGTAGACCACATTGGTCGGCTTGCGCATCGCCGCAAATACACGCATATTCCGTGTGAATTGGGACATCAAGGCACAGAGCCACTGCAATACGGAGGGTCTTAGGGTCGAGGCGTGTTCCCATTGCCGAAATACGAACAGTTTGAAGGAATTCCCCGGAGTGAGGTGCACTCACAGCTTGGAGACGGGCAGTCTCCCTGTCTGATATTATGGCCCTAAGCATGTTGGCAAGCACCTTTTCAGCGATGGGGCCATCCCAACTTGACTGTAGGCCAGTGCTGCACTAGGTTTTGGTGCTGGAGCAGCAAGAGTCCCATTCAGTGATGGCACTTGCGTAGCTAGGGTCCTGTATTCCTGCTGAGTCACTGAGGTTGTCTGGAAGAATTTGTTTTATTAACTCACTTGATGCTATGGAATAAGGTAGGAAAGCTGGTAGGGCAATCTGGAAGGATTTGCGTACTCCCAGCCCCCCAAGACTGACTGAAAGTGAGGCTTGCAACCACTGTCCATGGTCTTTCAACACACCGGCCATATCCCACCGAGGAAGGGTCCTTTTGCATTTTATACTTGTCTGCCATGTTACCACTGCAGTCTCCGTATGTACACAAAATATAATTTAGATTTTTTTTATGATGAGGTTGAATTGCATGGAGGGTGCTGAGGTAGCTGGTGCTACAGTTCGTTCATTTTATGGTATATCGATTTCATAAGGTCATTATACCTGCTATCCAAATGATTGCTTAACTGCATTGTTTAAAATATAATGCAGTACTCTATACATTTTTGTGTGCATAATTTCTTTTTACCGCAGTCAACAATCTGACATTTATGCTTTCCGTCAGATGGTACATGCCAATCTGATTTCAAAGGAAGCTCTGGAGTTAATTCTGAAGGTAACGGAGCGGTGTCGTGACTACCTGGAACGATATTTCAATCTCATCGACCCATTATACTTCGCCTTTACACACTTAGTTTGTCGCACTGCTAAACCAGGTAAAGTTGTTGTAAATAAGTGATCATTCTGTTTCATATTTTGTAAGTTTTATGTATTATTCTGTTAATAGACACAGTAAAATTTATATATGAAAAGTATGGCGTAGCATTATGATTGCATAACATACCTTCTGTTAATTTGTTGATAAATAATTATTTGTTCAATTTTTACAGAGATGTCTGTAAACAGATCGGCATCTGACCTCAGCCATGAAGTTCATGTGGACAACTGTCTGTTACAAGATTCTGGAGAATGTCTTAGAGTCCCACCAGCTTATACATACAGGGATTATAGGTAAGAATTCTTTTGATTGATTTAAAACATTAAAAGAAAACAGAATATTTCATGTAAGACTGCTTTTGGTATGTCTATTTCTACCCAAGAAGAAATTATCTATTGGCATTAAAAATTTGAAAATGTCTAACTCTCCGAGTTATGTTTTCATAAAATCTGTGTTTTTGGCTCAATTTTTGCCCTCTAATATATATATGAGTTCTGCAGCATACATAGATATATTCCTAACTTTCTGAATTTCACCGGAAATGTATGTAGAGAAAACAATAGTACGAGAGTTGGTTATGTTTGACGCGTGTTTACTGTAGCTTGGCAGTTGCAAAGTTAAAAAAAAAAAAAAACTGCTTCCTACATGTTCTGTTTTTTTTACTTGGGTTGTTCGTAGTTTGGGGAACCTTCTTTATTGCTTTTATCCTTTATATCTACACTATAAAAATGTCATTGGAATTCTGTCGGGTTTTCGCTGGCTGTGCACTGGTTGTTTGGAGTAGATGTTCTTCGTGAGGGTAAGAATTCTGATTTTTAGGGATTATTGGTGAATAGCATTTCTGTGACTGTAGTCGGTGCAGTGAGTGATACTGTTGGCAATATTTTGAGTGATTTTGTTTAAAACCTGCAAAAAACTGTCTAGCCCTAGCGGTACATGATGTTTCTTCTCAGACTTTTGTTCTTGTTAGGAAGGGCATTGGAAAATCAACTTGGGAAGAGATACATGCTTGAAATGCCATTAACATTAATGTTAATAACCATGATCACTTGTTCAGGATCAGCGGGTTCTGATTATTAAACCAAAACCTAGAGTTTCGGTGGACAGTGCAGCTGTTGGCCATGTAACTAATTTAATCCAGGATTCATTAACCTGAAGTAAAGGTAAGGAAGAATAAAAATTAAACCTTGGTGCTTAATTTCCCAAGTGATGAGGCGAAGCGGGAGGCCAAGGCTTTCACATGGGGCTTCCAATTTTCCTGCTGATATAGATTTCATGGTCTGAGAATCTGTTAAGATCCTGCCTAAGGGAACTATGGTTGGTCTTTCACCTTTTTTGTTTAGATGATGATTGGAGTTTTGCTAAGAATCCAGAAGTCAAGGATTATTATTATAATGATGGGGAACGCTTAACCCACAGGATTATACAGCGCATGTGGGGGGGAGGGTGATGGATGGAAGGTATTCAGGCTCAGTTCAGGGAACCGTTGCACAGATCCAATTCCTTAGATCAAGAGCCCTTCACCAGCGTCAAGGAATCTCTTTTGAGCGGAGAAATCAAGGAACTATCTGAAAAAGACTGTCTTTAATGTTTGTTCTTCAGTGGTTAAGAATTGTAGCAGGACAGTTGTGCATCGCTAGACTGTGTTCTTAAAAGAGGCCTATGAATCCAAGTTCTCGGCAGTTTATCTTCAGTTGGCCTATAGCATAGGCCAATGAAACTTGTCTATGCTATAATAAAAAAAGGAGCTATGCATTCCTCCACATCATCCGGGGAAATGGGGTCACATACTATAGTAAAGATGTTGCCAGTAAGCTTCTGATTACTGGACTTACCCGTGTTTCGAGACTTACCACTTCCTACGAACTGCCTCTGGAGTTGGAAGTTGTTGGTAATAGTATGTCCAGTCTTGTGACAATATTTGTACCGCACAGTCTCTGAAGTCTTGTTTCTGCTAGCACTTGCCTGTGACTGTTCCTTGTAATTGTGTTGTTGTTCACTCATTCTTCACAGCCCCGGAAGAACTTTTCCTGCAGGGCCCTTAATCACCAGAGTACTGTCAGGAAGAAGATATGGGTAGCATGTTCTTCTGGACAAATAACGAAGGTATCTGCCAGATGTCAAGATATGATCCTCCATAAATACTCATTCATCTGAACTAACAACCTCGAGGAAATTATCTAGAAAAACCACCTGCACTAAATTGCTGAAATTCGCCATACCTGCTGATCTGAGGGAATAGTTTAGACTGCCATTAAGGCTGCCAGGGTTGCCGCCTGTTTAGCCTAAACCCATGTCTATATTTCGCCAGGATATAATGTAGTTCACGAAATTATCTTCACACAAGCTATAAGTTTTACTCTACTGTCTTCCCACGCAATGCTGTGTGAATGTGTGCCGCTCAATGCTTGACTGGCCATTGCAAAACTCGGGCATGATTCTCTAATGATTCAAAGAATTGTTAAAGGCTTTTCTTTGGAAAAACATAATACACAGACTAATGGACACTAAATGCTCATCACAGGTATGGTGATAGTGCCTCCTCTCCTTCTCTCTGTCATATTCCTTCCTGGCAAAAACACGCTATTCCCTGATGTGCTCGAGAATAAGTTTCGCCAGTGCCAGTGACAATGAAGCAAATTGGTCCTAAATTAAACCTGTTCTACCGCTTCTTACCTCCACGTCTTGTGGATTATCAAGTAAATCTTCAGGAGTGTGATCACTGCCATTACTTGAAAGTAAACCAAGAGGGGAGTTGAGACTAACACGAGCTTCCTTTGCAGCAGATGCAACAGATGGAGAAGTTATGATTGATCGATTATTATTATTATTATTATTTTTATAATCAAGGGGAAGTGCTAAACCCGTAGGATTATACAGCGCCTGTGGGGGGATGTGGAAGGTATTCAGGCATAATTCAGGGAACTGGAGCAAAAATCCATTTCATTAGATCAAGAGCCCCTCACCAGCGTCAAGGAACCTTCCTTGAGGGGATTGATTGATCAGATCTTAGCTTGCTGGAAATTAATTCACGAAGTTGCACGACATTCAATGCCAATACGACGAGCCAGCAACGTTGTAGAGATATTCTGAGCAATATTTGCAAGGTATACACCGTCACCACATGCCTTATAAGCACAGGTGGCATTAACCAACTGGCAGTCCAATAACTTAACCAGCAGATGAATGGTTCAGAGAACCGACATGTTGATAAATTAGACACATGTGCAACTCTTGGGTATATTGAGGAAACGTTTCGCCACACAGTGGCTTCATCAGTCCATACAAAGGAGAATAGTGAAGAACAGGAGGAGAATGAGGTAATCAGTCCCTCAACCTTGAGTCGATGTGGTCAGTCCATCAATCTTGAATAGAATACAGCATATGAGCAGAGAAGTAGCTTATATACAGTAGGCAGGAGAGGTGCAGCAGTTGTAAATTCAATTAATCCATTCCAGACACCCAAAAATATTAACCAAAAAATACATTTTATAGAGAATAACTATAGTTTTACATACAGAAAAGGGATGATGAAAACAATTAATTGTTTTCTCACTGTTTTATAATATAAAAGAATCTTTAGAAATGGTACTCTGAGTTGTATGAGGTTATGAGTGATGCAAGACTGGAACAAAGGAGGGTGGCGTACCTTAACACAAACTATATCTACGAGCAAATATATATATATATATATATATATATATATATATATATACAGAACAAGCCACATGGGGATGGAAATCGTTAGTTCAAGATCTTTAGCGCTCTACTAGGAGGAAAAAAATTCTCTGAGGCAAGGCAGACGTGTACACTGTCAGGCCACATCACAGTCTAGTGTGTGGGTGCCGTCTGATCCTCAACCACCTCCACCCGTCCACTCCACTCGAGGGGAGGGAGGAACCTCACAAGTTTACAGGAAGCTACTTACGGAATAATAAGCAATAGCGGTAGCCAGCCCATAACCGAATTTTAATCGACACCAGTTAATCTAGTGACATATGGAATCATTTTCCTTGCACGTTTCGCCCGTCTGAGATCCTGTCCATCTGTGGATATCCATTTAGTAGTTTCAGTTGAGCACAATCTTAAGCTAGGATGCTATATAAAATCCCCGAATTGCTCATTATGTAACTGACCCTCGTGAGGATTGGGTGATGTTAGACCAGTGTTCTCCACACCTGTCCTTCACGTTTCAACCTTCTGTGATCCTGCCCACCCGGGTACGCCGGGAAGGTGTAAAATTAACATCCGGATCGGGAGGCGAGAGTATGCCCGGGTTAGCGTTCAATTTCTGTTTCCCTTTTGAAGGTAAACTGTTCTCTTCACATTTAGCCCATTATAAATCGCGTCCGACTATCAGTATCGCAGTATATGGTCTTTTCCGCAAAGTACAGCTTCTCCCATGTGTTATTCGAGGTGAGAATATGCTCCTGTAATTTGCAAACAACTTTTATCGGTTTGATGTAATATTGTAATAGGTAGATAGTAATACTGTTTCGATGGTATACTGTAATAAGTAGCTAATAACTAATGATAGTAGTTAGTCCTACATACGAATGCGGTTACGAAGGTTTATGCAATATACATAGTAACATATGTGCGGGTCTCCTAGGATAACATATATATGAGTTTCCCAGGATAGCCTAGGGAGGCTGGGCTTGATTGATTGATGAGGTTTACCGGTATTGCCTCCCCAGGTCTCTTCCAGTTAGTGACCCGGCCTTGGCATCCTGCTGTGAAGTGTCGTTGACATTCCTGAAATGCTCGGCATAACAAGCGGCTTTCTATATAGTAGTATGTCACTGATGTCAGCTATGCCTGTATACCTTGTATATGTGCTTGTAGAAATAAAGATATACATATATTATACTAAAATGGTATAAAATACCGACAGGTTGTTAGGTAAGACACATATGCAACAGTTAGGCATCTTTATTTTGAAACGTTTCGCCTACACAGTAGGCTTCTTCAATCGAGTACAGAAAAGTTGATAGAAGAGACGTGAAGACGATGTAATCAGTCCATCACCCTTGAAGTTTTGAGGTGGTCAGTCCCTCAGTGTGGAGACATGTATAGTATGCAAAGTCATGGAGAAGATTATCAGGAGAAGAGTGGTGGAACACCTAGAAAGGAACGATCTCATCAACAGCAGCCAACATGGTTTCAGGGACGGGAAATCCTGTGTCACAAACCTACTGGAGTTCTATGACATGGTGACAGGAAGACAACAGCGAGTCATGTTATGTGGCGAAGTGTCAGAGTGGGCGCCTGTGACCAGCGGGGTCCCACAGGG